CTTAGAAATAAAATCATGCACATTCATTGCCTTTATTTATTTACTTACTTACTTACTTTTACTTACTTACTTACCCACCCTAAGTGAATAGGAACAAAAATACCATCCAGCTAGCTAGGCCCCAAGAGATGGAAGCAGACAGCTGATTCTGTATTTCCACCCTTCATTTACTTCAAGGTGCACAGTGACTGGAAACTTATTCTTCCAGCTACCATTCCAGAATTGCAATCCAGATTTTGGCCTTCTTTCAAGAGACGGCAAGATCTGCCATCACTAAACCCCATTCTGACGTAGTAACAAATAATCAGATGGCGTGAAGTAGCCGCTCCACCTTTGTCTGGCAGCGGCTCTCCAATTTGCCACGGACAGCTCAGCCCGGGGCTCCCTCCTCCCCCTGCTTGTCTCACTTACCTGCAGCCAGTTAAGGTTGCTTTGATACAGTATTTTGCCCCCGATTTACAGCCACAGAATCTAAGTTTCAGAGAGACGAAGCTCCAAGATTGGAAGCGTGGTCTGGGCCTACCACACTCTGGGCCCCAACCAGAGTCAGAGGGTTCTTGTGGCTGATGAGAATAAAATTGAATCTCTGGTGTGAGGCCACCTCCTATGACTGTAGACACCTGGGCTCCAAGGCCCAGCTCTTACAGCTGGCCCTCTGACCATCCCACCTCCAAAGCCATCTTTACTTTTCAAAGGGCTTTCTCAGTCATTGCTTCTTTATTCCAGGCAGCTGTGTCACAGGGGCCAAACACACGTGACTTGGAGTCATAAGACCTGGGATCACATCCTAAGCCCTGTTCTGTTTTCACTCTATGACCCTGAGCGAGTTACTTCACCCTCTGAGCCTTGGTTTTCCCCCCTATGAAACAGGGGCAGTCATACCCATCTCAAAAGATGGCTTAACCACTACAGTATAGAAGTGTCCTAGAGCATCACAGAGATGCTTTCTGCACAGGACTGTGCTTTGATTCTCTCTGATAGCAATACAGCAAGGAACTAAAGCCAGCCCAAAGGATTTTATCCTTTTTACTTCCTAGCAAGTGCAGTGACCTGCTCTGTCCAGATATTATCCACTCTGCTCCTGTTCTCTGCCTGAAGGTTGGATTTCAAATGACCAGGGCCCACAGCTCATGCACGTCCTTCGTCCATAGCTTGCAGCCAAACCTTTGCCAACATGTGTAACCAAACCCTGTGTGACTGAGGGGCACAGGAGTCCAGATGAGGGAATGTTCTGCCCCCAGCTGTTTTTAAAATTTCTATAGTTAAGAATGTGAACTTTGGAGCCCAGCTTCCTGGATTTGAAGCCAAGTTACTGCACTTCTTAAAGCCTAGTTTCTATATGTATACAGTAAGAACAGCCATCATGCTGACCTTATAGGGGGTTTTGAGCATGAAGTGAGTTAACACATGTAAAGTGCTTAGAATACTTAGAATACTGAACCATAAAAAATTACTAACATTGAATGGTGTTTGACCTAAAAAACAGTAGTTTCACATGGTCCAACCTAATTGTAAGTACTTAGTAGGTGGTAACTCTTTTGATTTCCGCAGCGTGGAGATAGCCTCTGGTGATGGATGGATGTTCACAACTTTCTTTTACTTTACTTGCAACTCAGAGGGACAAGCTTTTTCCTTACTAACCTAGAAACTGGAGAGCAAGTAGTCATGCTTTTCTACCCAGGGGGCTGCAGGCAAGGGATTTGCACATGGTCTGTGGTCCCCTTCTGTGGGCAGGCACGCAGCCTCCCTGGGCATGGTCTGGTACTTCCTTCACTCAGAAGAAGGGAACGTCGCATACTACTGTAAGCAGTGCTAGTCCCATGCTGGCTGTTATAAAGTTGTCTGAGGGGCCCTCACCTGCATGAAAGGCATCTGTCAGATAATGGTGTCTGCGTGCAAGGCGCGTGTGTGAGTCCTCAGCAGCCGCGGGCTCTCTCTCTGGGCAGGAGCTGGAGTGGCTGCTGGAGATCAATCGGCTCACCCACCGGCTGCTGTGTAAGCACATGACCCTGGACAGCTTCGATGCCATGTTCCGGGAGGCCAATCACAACGTGTCTGCCCCCTACGGCCGCATCACCCTGCACGTCTTCTGGGAGCTGAACTTCGACTTCCTCCCCAACTACTGCTACAATGGGTCCACCAACCGGTAAGGGAGTCTCTGTGCAAAGCAGAGTGGGGGTGGCAGTAGAAGCAGCCAGCTGTCTCCTCCAGACAAGCCCTGTCAGTGTCATCAGGGCCTGGCTCACGGCCAGCGTAGAATAAGTATGTGCCAGAGTCACGGAAGGGTCTGGGAGGAATCCACACACTTAGCAAGATGGACTTCCGGTTCTCTAAAGATTTGGGACTTTCAATCCTCTTGTGCAGAGATCTGCACACGCCAGCCCACGAGGCACCTCTAGTTGCCAGCTCTTTTTGTTCAGCCTGTGAGCTAAGAATGGTATTGATATTTTGAGACGGCTAGGGAAAAAATCCAAAGAATTATAACTTGGTGACAAGTAGAAATTAGTTGAAATTCACGAAGTTTTACTGGAACTCGGGCATCCGCGCTCACTCATTTACGGTTTATGAGCTTGTTTATGGGTGCTTCTATGCTACAGCAGAGTTGAGGAGTTGTGACAGAGACCATCTGGCTGGCAAAGCGGAACATATTCGCTATCTGGGCCTTTAAAGCAAGAGTTTGCAGCACTCTACTCCTGAGGAAACCAAACCGAGGGTGGAGGGTCCAAGCCCTGGAGAAGGCTGTTTCCAGGCCCACCCTGTTCTTGACTTTCTTGACCACTGTCTGAGCAGCTGCAAGCCCAGAGTTGAGCCTGTGAACCTGGATTACAGTGTTCCCATCTATGAAAAGGAGACAGGAGTTAAACGGGAGTCTGTCAGAAGTACCTGTATAGGCCACGGCCTAAGAAACAGCGTGGGTGTGCCTGACCAGGAAGGGCTCCCGCTATATCAGGTCCCGTGAAGAATAATATTAGGACCCAGTTAACTCCTGCCCCATCTCTTTTCTTCTACTAGTTTTGTCCGAACTGCCATTCCTTTCACCCAAGAACCGCAAAGAGATAAACCCGCCAACGTCCAGCCTTATTACCTCTATGGGTCCAAGGTGAGTGGTCTTGCCTGTGTCCTACTTCTAAGAGGACTAGTGAGCAAAAGCAGATAGAAGAGTGTTCCCCAAATCAGAAAAGCAAGAAGCATGGAGATACAGAGGCAGCAGTGAAATCCAGGCAGAAACAACTGCAAGTATATTCATCTTTATTTGTTCACAACGAGCAGGGGTGAGGGTGAGCGCAGACCTGGTGGGGCTGGATTCTGGGCAGGAACAGTCTGGGGAGGACTTTATGAGGCAAGCAGGGAAATAGGCCTGTGGGTCTCCTTGTCTCGGCATCCCATCTCCTCCTGTTCTCGGTTGATTCATTGTGGTATCATCCTGCGATTCTGGGATTTTGTGCTCCGTGAAGATGAGGGATTTGCAGATAGGAAGCAGTTGGGAAGGTGGAGCTTTGAAGGAAATCCCAGATGGCCGGAGTTAGAGCTGAGGGGTCTCCTCCTGTCTCTTTGCTGCTTTGTTGACAGTGCCAGTCCTGACACTAACAAAGCTTCCCAGGTGGTGCCTGTTCTGGACTTTCAGTCCTTTGCCATTAGTTAAACAGACATTCCTTAAGCCCCCACTGTAGGCCAGATGCTGGGCAGGTTCTCCATGCTGGGGATTTAGCAGAGGTTGAAACAGACGCATCTCCACCCTCCTCCAGCTCCATTTCCACACCCGGGGTGGGCACTGGGGGACACCCTTCACAAAGTCTTACCATCACCATGACATATGTAGGAGATCGTTTCTTACCCTGCGGGTTTGTGTGGGAGAACGCCACAGAAAGGGTGCAATAGCTCAACAACAACGGCAAAAAAGCCAAGATTTTTTTGTGTGTGATGCATGAAAAATGGCCACCTTTGACCCCATTTTCACAAAGTAAGCACAGAGGGACTTAGAAGAAGAAGTGACTGGATAAATACAGCATGGTTAGAAAAGGTGCTTCTCTAGGCCGGGAGCCCTAGATTGGGAAGTGTGAGGAACCAAGATGAGTGCCCTTCACTTGGGCCTGAATGTGGGGCTTAGAAAGTCTTAGGATGATGCTGAGAGAGTACCGGTGTCTTCTCCAGAGCAGCCAGTCTGGTCAGGGCAACTCTCTCAAATCAGGGAACCCTTACAGACAGCACTGTAGACAGTCACAGTCATGGCATGAATTAACAGTCACTCACAAAGTAACTCCCTTTGCAATACTCTTTCAAACCTTGCTGATTATACCAAGGAGCAAGTCTTATGTAGGTGCTAATATGTCTTTAATACCTTTCCAACGACTGCTAATCTCCCTTTATTTTTTTTTTTTTTTTTTTTTTTTTTGCGGTACGTGGGCCTCTCACTGTTGTGGCCTCTCCCGTTGCGGAGCACAGGCTCCGGATGCGCAGGCCCAGCAGCCATGGCTCACGGCCCCAGCCGCTCTGCGGCACGTGGGATCCTCCCGGACCAGGGCATGAACCCGTATCCCCTGCATCAGCAGGTGGACTCTCAACCACTGAGCCACCAGGGAAGCCCTAATCTCCCTTTTGATCAGAGATGAGAGAGCAGGCCCTGAGCTCAGAGTCCTTAGTAGGCAATAGTATCCAAGTCAATTTAGTATTGTTTTGTTTTCATTCTATTTATTATGTATCTTCCCTTCTATTTATAGCAGGAGGGTGCTCGTTTTTCATTTGGGGAGTAGCATAAGCCTATGTTTTAAAATAAGTTTAAAAACTGAGTCAATTTAAAGAAAAGGTATTGTTAATAATCGTAAAGATAATCTGTGGTTTAAAAAAAGGTGAAGATGGGGTACAAAATGGTGTGCGATTGGCTGAAAGTTGGAAAACACTCTAGAGCAAGGCTTCTCACATCTTTCCAAAATAATTCCCCTCAACAGCAGAGGAGACTGGACGTTTGCCTCAGCTGACTGAAAGCATAACTCAAGAGCCCATCTTCAACTCAAAAATTTCCTGGAAGTTTTGTATTTTATTTAAGTCATGCACATTTCACTTTCTATACCATAATATATTCATGGTTGTTTTAATATTGAAATAATGCTTTTAATTCCTAACTGAGACACCCTACCCTAAATGGACACTCCTAAGAGATGCCGTGTTCCTCCCTTTGCACACCAGGGGGTTATATGTTTTCCAGCTAGAGAAGCTTTGCCAAAGGGCATTCATCCAACCAGGTGGTCCATGTGTCAGAGCTCTGACATTTGAGGGGAGGCGAATGGGTAGTCTACAGATGCGTTTTTACCAGAGACCTGCTGCGTGGAGGGCTTTAAGCTACCTGATGTGGGCTGCCTCCCCTCCACCTCTCACTCCCCAAAATGAGGCAGTGCGGTAGGATGAACACCGCCCTCCCTCTTCAGGGCACCCACGTCGGGGGCATCCTGTTCGGCCACTGCGGCTGCGGCTTCTGGTTCCGCGTCAGCTCCGGAGTTCTTGCGTGGCACTTCCACCAGGGGGAGCCCCTGCAGGTCTTCCTCCCCCTGACCCAGACCCGGGGCCTCCTCTGGCCATCTCACCAGGCCATTGGCTTCCTCCATGAGGCCGGCTCTGTAGGACCATCGAGGCTCATGGCAACGGATACACCAGAACTGGAGGCAGATGAAGGCTAAGACTGCTGTGAAGCAGGCCAGCAGAATGGCCATCAGCACCCAAAGGGAGATCTGGGGGTCCACCAGGGAACTTCCCGCAGCCAGTGGACTCTTATCCAGGGTGTGGAACATGGTGCAGTAGTGCCTGTAGGGGAAGAGGATCTTCTTGCAGCTGATGCACAGGAAGTAGAGAGTGGAAGGGGTGAGGTGTTCCAGCACCACGGAGCTGATTGTTCGAGGCACCTTCTCCTCGTGGTGGAAGCTGTAGCGAAGATAGCCAGAGAAGATGCTGTTCCAATTGGGCCTATACATAATATGGTAATAGTCCTCCAGGCAGGGCTCCGAGGACGACCAGGAAATGATGGCTCCCGTATAAGAAACGTTCCCAACCTCGATGTTCATCTCGATTCTGAAACCAGAATCAAAGTGAAGAGTGTCATCTTCTCATTTAAGTGTTTATTTATGATAGTCATAGCCACCATTCATTGAGCATTCGAGATGGGGACTAATATTGACCCCGATTTACAGACAAAGAGATGGAGGCCAGGAGGTGACAGTGCTCAGCTAGGCACAGCCGAGGAACGGCAGAACCACAGTTCAAATCAGGGCTGTCTCATGCCAAAGCTGGGGGCCGTCAGGCCCAAAAGAGATGCACACACATCCCCCAGCCTCATCCTGCCGCGGCTCAGAGTCTTTAAATACAACACTGTTCCCAAACCTTAAAAAAAGAAGGGGAAAAAAGGCAGTGAAAGGACAAATCAGCACAGCCTCAGAGTCCCCACGTGAGTCCCCACGGGTCTGTGACCTCCAGGTCAGGCAGTTGTTTCACCTAAAATTTCCCTCTGGAGCTCCTGTTTCTGCCCCAAGTGCTGTGAGCTCATTCATCCAGAACATTCTGGCCACTGTGTTTTTAGCCTCCAAGTGCTGTTGCCCGTAGCCAGAGGAGATTTGCATCATCACTCAGCGGCAGCTGATTTCTCCCCAAAGCCTCTGCTCATGTTTTGTCCGTTCGTTAGCTTTTTTCAAAGCCGAACTACCCAGAAAATTAGTTTCACAGGTCAAGATAATCAGCTCCGAATACCAGCATCACTGCTGCTGTTTGATACTGCTGGTTCTGTGACTGTTAATGATGGTAATAACCCGCAATAGCGAGCAGTTGCTATGTCACAGGTCACTAGAAGCTCAACATATAAGAGTAAATATCCTTTGTTCATCACACCCTCTGAACTAGATTCCCATTCTACAGATGAGCAATCTGAGAGGAGCAATCAGCTAACAGGTACAAGACCCAAAGCCACGTAACCGCTGGATTTACAAAGACAAGGCTGCCGGGTTTAGTCGTAGAAGGTTATTGCAAAATGAGGTGCTGGTACCAAGACTGAGTTGCCGTTTTTCCTGACACGTGAAATGAGCCCTCTTCAGATTGCCAGCCCTCTCGCTTTGCTAAAAGTGCGCCATCTTCAAGCTTTTTCGTTTCTTTTTAATTCTAAAAAGATATTGTGTTTGAGAGATATTGTTCTCCTCTACTGAATTTCCCCTGAGCTAAAATTCAGAGACAGCCATAGTCAACCTGTGTATGTTCACGGATAGATCTCACCCAGCTCAGTTCTCTGCCCCTCCTCTCTCACACGAAATGCAGAAGGTTTCATTTCAGATTGCAATGACAGAGTAAAAAACAGTCGATCAGATTTTAACCTGAATCGGACATTAAGCCACACAGATTGCGATTACGAGCTGCTTTCTCTCCTCCCTGCTTCCCTCCAACCACCTGTGTTCGTGCCCGTGCTCCTAGAGGAAGTGAGCTGCAGGAAGATGCCCAGCAGTGAATGATTTTTCAGGCCTTGTTTTTCTTCTCTATGGATGACAATGAACTAAAATGCTCAGGAAGGGGAGTTCCTTTCCGTTTGGCTAGAAATTTTCTCCCAGAAAAATGGGGGATGAAAGGGACAAGGCAGGTGTGCTCAGATCCCTCCAGCGAGAGTCTTTGCAAAAGACATTGAGTATCTGCGCTCCCTCCATGGGTCTCCTTCTCATACACACCCGTCCACCCCGCCACACCCCTATAAATAGGGACCACAATGAAAAGAGCTTAATTCATTACTTACGATACAGAGGCAATAGCCCTCATAAACCCTTCCATCAGGAGTGATCAGGAATGCTGTTTCTTGTCATGAATCTCTTCTGTTTGCCTCACATCTGTGCTGTCTGTCTTTGCAGACTGAGTTTTCTACAGCAGACATTTTGAAGAGCTTTCTGTCAAGATGCAGCATTCACAGCTTTTACGACTAAATGTCTCCCATTATTTATTTTTCTTCCACTGCTTCTGTTTTTAAATCCCCCCTATTTTTAGCTGTTCGTATTACCATTGCCTGGCCCTCCTCCAAGCAGTGTGAAAGGAAAAGCCATTTCCATTTCCAAGAAGAGCCATTTGTGTCCCTTACCTGATGCTCACAGTGGATCCGGTTAGAACGCAGCCCTCAGAGGCAGAGTGGACCAAAGCTGAAGGATGTTGCCTTCTCCCTCCTCTGCTCTGGGCTCTACTTGATGTCTCTCTCACCACTGTGTGAGTAATTCCACTGTCGCCCCCAACGCTCACATTATTCATTTCTTCAGATCAGTATCATTCACCATGGCAACCAGCAGGCATCTGTACGCACGATGTTTCAGGGACCAGTCTGGAAAGGCTTTTGCTCAGTGAGAGGAGCTCTCATTCCTTGGGCCAGAAAAAAGAGGCAAACAGTCCCCTGCACACTGATCCTCAGAGTGGTACTAATTCTTCAAAGTCTCCTAAATTGTGTCTCTAATAAGCTAGTTATCATTTTTTTCCCCATCTAGACCTTCTTTGGACAATGGTTGCAAATGCAAAGCTGCCGTTCTTGTTTTCCCACAAGTAAAACAGTAATTACATCCTCATCCCCTCCCATCCCACTGCCACCGCACCTCCTTACCCATCTCTACACCCTCTTCTTTCTTTATTCTTGCCTCCTGTGGCATTACCTAGTTGTATGCCACTGGTCAAGACACTTCTATTCTCTGGGCCTCAGTTCCATCATCTGTAAAGCTGATCGCTTGGGCTAGATCAGGATGTCAGGTAGAAAACATGAGTGCTACCCCCCTGGCCAGGCCTGAACCCATGTGAGGCTTGCTGAACCGCCAGGACACTCGTACTGAGTTGGTCTGAGCATTCCCCACCCCTACCCCTCACCAAATTCAGGTCCACCCAGAACCTCAGAATGTGACCTTAGTTGGAGGTAGGGAGTTTGTGAATTTAATTAGGTAAGGATCTGGAAATGTTATCATCCTGGATTTAGGGGGAGCCCTAAATCCAATGACTGGTGTCTTTATAAGAGAAAGGAGAGGGAGGTTCATACACAGAGAGATGCAAAGGGTAGAAGCCATGTGAAGACAGAAGCAGAGATTGGAGTGATGCTGCCATAAGCCAAGGACTGCCAGAGACCTGCAGGAGCTGGAAGATGCAAGGAAGGATTCTCTCCTAGAGCCTTTGGAGGGAGCGTGGCCCTTCCAGCACCTTGATTTCAGGCCTCCAGAACTGTGAGAGGTTCGAATGTTTGAAGCCACCATGTTTGTGGTAATTTGTTACAGCAGCCCTAGCTCCGATGGATTTAGACCTGAATCATATAACACAAATTAGGCATTTTTAAAAGTCATCTTTTTTCTTCTTGGTTCTTGGCCAAAGTATCCAAGTGGACCCAGGAAGGTCTCCTTTTGATTCACATCAGTGATAATCAAAAAGTTATAAAGAGTTGCCCGGTGAGTCACAGACCCTCCCTGGGCCAAGGGTCTCTGTGAGGGCGTGGGGTCTCGGAATGCCCAGTGTCCCTCAATTAGACACTTGCTCTGTGCTTCCCTCCCGTGGCATTCAGTTTTCCCAGAGGTCTGTCTAGAATCTGCTGTAATGCATGCTAATGGCGACTCCCTGCAGAGCATGAAAGCGTCCTCTCCACAGAAAGGCCAATGCAGTAGTTTGCAGATGCCTTTTGAAAAGGTTATTTTGAGGGGAATAAAAATACCAGCGCTAGGGGGCCTGTGGAGTGACGAGATGGAGTTCAAGCCTTTGCCACTGAAAACAAGAATTTATTTTTAATGCTCCTGGATGCCATTTTTCACCCTGAGCCTTTTATTTGAGAAGTTGAGACACTTGGAGGATGTAAGGCCTAGAAGTCCTCTTGGTTCGCAGATCCGGAGAGAAGGGATGTCTTTCCTCAGGCCGGGTGACTGATTAGTGGCAGAGCCAGGAGTGGAACCCGGGTCCCTGCCTCCAAGTCCAGGGCTTGTCCTGCTCCTTTGGGCCATCACCATTCCCCAGCAGCACCCAGAGAAGCCAGTGAGCCCTTGTGGATGAGACGGATCATCTGGGGACACTTGGCTCAGGAGATCGCACCCCAGCCAGGCTCAGTGTCTTCACCTTCAGGCAGGACCCTTCTGCAGCCACCTGAGTGGCAGCCTCTTCAGCTGTCAGGCCAGGTGGTCCCTGGTTGGTTTACACCAGTAGTAAATCATTGCCAGAGGAAACCAGCCAAGAGCGGGATCCCTGCTCCCTCCCTGAAGGTGGCAGTGAAGGGACAGTGAGAGAGCATACCTTGGTCCCAAAGCTGATTGGCACCCAGGGGCTGAAGTCCCCAGGCTAGGTTCAAATCCTGACTCTGTGGACACATTTTCTGACTTTCCTAGGCCTTGGTTAACTCTTCCGTAAAAGGCAAATATCAATACTACCCACCTGATAATGTTGTAGCAGTGAGACGAGCCCATCTCTGTAGTGCTGAGCTTAGGAATAGTAGCCATTATTATTAAGAAGAAAATGTCCGTGGGTCAGAGCCATTTCCTGAGTTGGTCATAGCTTCATCCAGAGGCTGTAATGGACAGGGTTTGCACTCTGCATGATGCTTCCTTCCTTTTCTCTCCCCTTAAAACAGCTTTATTTTTTTTTAATGTACACGCTCGTTGTGCATGAAGAGTATCAGAAAGTTCAAAGACAGCAGTCAAAATCCTGTGACTCAGAAGTAACCACTGAGAACATTTCAGTGCACGAGAAAATGTGTTTTCTCATTTTACCCATGGGGAGCTCTTTGAGGTAGGCCGTCTTACCACCATTGTACAAAGGGAGAAACTGAGGCTCAGAGGGATTAAGTAACTTGACCAGTATCACAAAGCTAGGCTGTGGCAGAGCAGGGCCCTACGCTGAGGTCTGTCGGTCCAGAGCCCAAGCTCCTAGCCAGCCTCCTTCATGCACTGCCGTGCTGCTGGGTCGACCTTCAGTCATAGGTGGGCAGCAGCAGCTCTTTGCCTTGTGGTTGACTTGTCAGAGAGCTAGAGGCAGGACTTCGCAATTTGGTGGGTTCCAGGGTGATAGGAACAGGCAAGGAATTAAAAGACCTTAGAGGAAACACCCAGCCACCCGAAGGTAGCCAGCAGAAGCAGTGAAAACATCAACTACCTTTGGAGAAATTCAGTCAGCAAGTGTTTCCTCTTCCGGAGTTTGGAGTCCAAGTACCCCTGCCTAAGAGCTCTGTCACTTAGGGTTAATATTAAATGTAAAAAGCCTTTAGCAACTGGTCTAGTAACTGAAATTAGTATATGAGTGGAAACTTTAAAAATATCTCTAAGTAATTAACTTGTAGAGAGTCTATCATAAAACAGCCTTGCAAGTGATAT